TGTCCTACATGTTTGCTTTTGTCTGCACCAAAATAGCTGCAAAAAAGAAAAAAAAAATGGCATTGGTGTAACAATGAACCCAGGTTTAATTCTGATCCAGGGTTTGATTTCCTCCAATATAGGTAACCAGGAATAAATTAGAGCTAAATATTATTTTTGATAGTAAGTAGATGGAATAAACCAGCTTAATGTCCTGCTAAGCAACTAAAGCAAGGATTTTCACTCAGCTCACTTAATACACCTGACAAAGGCAAGACATATTTTATTTATTTATTTATTTTTTCATGCATAAGTAAAATTTGCATTTAGCAAGTCTCAGAGAAGGAAATCCACATTTTGGCATCTGGAGTGAATAGATCCTGATTACTGGTGACACAGTGTTCCCTTAGTTATTTATGTTTCGGTCACTGTTTTATTTCTGGATTCCTTTTACTCTGTGTCTAGCGGAATGGAAAATTGAATGACTTCAAGGCAACAGGATGACCTTTACCTGTTCTCGTCTTGAACGAGTGTTCCAAAACATGTTGGCAGTAATACGTAGAGCAGAATCCTAATAAGCTGCAAGCTTGTGCAGGTTGGTTATAACTCGAGGTGAACAGCAGTGGGTCGACTTAGTCACTCATTGATCCCCGGGGTTTTAAGAGTGACAGTTGTTGAATGTCAGCAGAGCATTAACATTAAACATTAACACAAAGATATGTATTTAAAGGGTATCTGACTGTTAATCTACCCAATACTTTCTCACTCTAATGCATTAGTAGAGATGCCGATATGTCAATGAGTTGACACTGTGACCTGTTAGAGGTGTGGCATTAAAAGTATCAAAATCAGAGCAGGACTTGTTAGACTTAGATGTACAGTTTTAATTTTTTTTAAAAAACATACAAAGGCCTACAGCAAAATATTAAATTACATTTGCTTTTGGACAAGAGATAAAGGCAGTTTTAAAATGAAATTGTGTCCATGTGATATAATTGCATGAGATTCCTGAGCACAAACCTATTGTTCCCAATTTCTCTATGGAACATAAAGGCTAGCTTTAGATTAAGACCCGAAAGCTTTAATTGAGTGGTGGAGATTTGACCAAGTCTGACACATTTACATTATATTGATTTAAATGATCCCCAGTAAACTATGCACTGAATGAATATTCAATTCTTGTGTCGTGTCAGAATATCCATTAGGTCATCATTATGGTCTCTCCTAAGTTTTCCAAGTGAAACTATCAGGTTCATATTCTACATCAGTGTCCCATATTGGCTTTTATTTGTAGCTGCGTCCCTTTGTCTTTTTTGATGCTGTTCATTCACTAATGTTCTCAAAGAAATTTTCTTTCGGAGAACTAAATTGTAATTAGATTAAACTATGCAGGAGTGAACTCTTTTTAGTAATTTGTAGGCCGCAGAAGCAGTTTTCTTTCCACTAAATTTGATTTATAGTTTATAACAAAGTTAAAATTGACAACTATGTATTATGATGGTTCATAACATAAAATCCCAAATAAATATTAGAAGTTTGTGGTTGTTACATGACAAAATATGACAAAGTTTATGAAGTATTTTTCACAGCAACTGAAAATGCTGCACTATTCCTTCGTACATAATTTTGTCACTCAAGGTTGTAGTCTGCAGAGTAAATGGCATGTTCATATGCAATGTTACTAGTTTTACATATCTGATCACATGTAGAAGAATGCCATGAATATGTAACATTATGTGCTGTGGTTGCTTGGTGTTACTTCATCTTTTCTGAGCAAAATCAAGTTGTTCTAAGCTTTATGCCATGATTTCAGCAGAGACAGACTTTAGAGTTGCAAAGAATTAATGCATGGTGTAAAGGCCAGCAGGACCTTACACGCAGCAAAACTATTTATGATAATATATACCTGTAACAGCATAATCCTTCACTTGTCCGGAATACATTATTTAATACCTGGGAATTAGCATTCAAATTGTCAGGAAAGCAAAGATCAAAATAAATGTAAATAAACTGAATGTCATTATGCCATAGTCAGGACAATAATCGGTAAAACATATAGAATAAATACCTAAGAGAAGTGCAAGTGAAGTGGGATGATGGGGCAGAATTGAACATTTGATGGTGCAATTTAAATGTGAACAAAGTTATTGATGGCTCAATAATGTCGATAAAATCTGCCAGGAGCTACAACGGTGTGTCTGTTTCTCGCATAAATATTCATCCCTTTTTCCATCAGGAGACAGGGGACTAAAATAAAACGTTTCGTCTCCACTCTCGGTGGAAGGGTGGTTGGCATGTAGGCTGTGTGTGTCTGCATGATGGCGTGCGTGTGTGCGCGTTTGTCTAATGTGCTTATACATCTTCCCTTTCTCCACATTCACTCTCACACCTCATAAGCTAGATTCAGACTGTTCCATATGGATGGCACTCGTATATGACAGTTCTTGGTCGATCGGAATTCAAATATAAGCAGCTGTTTGGGTGTGCATCAGCAAGTTTTGAGAAGCGGTGAAAGACTTGAACAGACATTATAGATTCTAGTGCAGCTATATTGTTTGATTCTACAGTTAATAATCATGTTATGCAAGTCTTTTCAATCAAGTCATTGATGTGAATCTGTGTTGCTAATTGAGTGTAAAATTTTTACATTTACTGTCGGAGCAAGAAAAAAAAGTTGATTTTTTTTATTTTTTATGTTTTTGGAGTTCCTTAATTTTTTTTTTTTTTTCACTGTTGAGCATTTAAGCTCTGAACACAAAAAAATCTGAGTATGAATGACAATCATATTACAGCTTTAACTTGAAATGTGTTTGCTTACAATATCTTCCAGACAGGTTAATAAAATTCACATTGTATTTGTTGATGGACACCAGCTTTTCAGTTGCTTTTACCCATAGATTAAAAGGGCAAGTATAATCAAATTGCATTTGTTCTCGAAGAGAAAAGAAAGATTTATTGGATACTGATGGGATTATATTTACAAGCCTCTTTATTTTAATGAGTCTTTTGTGTTCATAAACTGTATGTTGCAACCCTGACTTTTACTTTTGCTCTTTTGCACCATCCTCTGATTTTAAAAAGCCACTTTTGAAGATTAAGATGATCTACATCAGCTGATGTAACATGAAAGAAAATCCTAATTTATGGATATCTGACATGAGGCTTATTGTGATTTAAGATGCCACTGACTGCACTTTTTTTTCTTTTTTTACTTCCGAGGGGACATTCCTTGCATGCTCTACAAATCTCTGTTATCAGGCTATAAGCAGAGATTCAGTGAAAAATGGAAAAAAAGAAAAGCAGACCGGAAGAGATAGGATTTATGCTAACATGCTGGTAGGAATGAAGGGGATTTATGTGATCCTTTGTGATGACTGATGGCATTACATGAGACCCTGCAATGGCAGTACATTTCCGTCACACATTTTGTCTCTGTATCCCCGTTTTCTCCATCCTGGTTTTTCTATTTACCTTTGTCTGTAGCTCGGACTACTCTGCAAGTCTCCGGGGAAATGCTGCTGATTTATTCTAGACCTACACCTTCTTTAGTTCTATCTCTCTAATGTCTTCAACCCCCAACAAGAAGGCTCTTTTCTCTTATAAAAATCAATATTGTGTGTGCTGGTGAGCACGTGCACATGCAATTTATTTTTTGCCTTACATTGTAAGCAAAATGTCATATACATATAGAAAGGATTTATCTCCACTGCTGCGATGGTGTCAGTTTTCAATGCTTGTACTTCATAGTTATTGCTCCCAGATGTGTTGTCAGTCACACCAACACTGCGGGATGTCATGCACTATACACAATAAACTTCAAGCTAATAAGGGTCCCGCTTTACAAACAAGAGGATATACTGCCAGGGCTGGAACAAATCATTGTCATTCATTAAAATGAATCTGTGATGCAATTGACTGTAAATGTTTTCAACATAAAATCCTCCAGTATTCTAGAGTGTCCTTTGTTGGGGAAACACATTTTTCATAAACCTACAAAGATGAGGAAATTTGACACCAAGTGAAATATATGTGCAAAGTATAAAACTGTTAAAACACACTTTTACAGACAGGGTATGCTGCAAAGTAAAACACAGATGCATAATTTGTCGTACAATTTCCATCTTCCAACTTTTCCTTCATTGAAAAATTGTCTTGAGTTGAAAATGTGAAAGAAAAGGCAACAATTGTCATTGGTACAGTCAGGAATATGCAGAGTGGTTTTTACATTGAATATTCTCTTGTACAGAGGAGAAAAATAGAAGTTACACTTGTCCGACAAAATACATTTTACACATCTGGTCCTTTGCTAACAAAAGGAATCTTGGAATACAAACAGTTTGGACAGAATCTGTACATTTTGACACATGATTTCACTTAGCAAATGTCCCTGACCCACAGTCAGTGTGAAAAAATAATCTTTGTCAAAGAATAGTTTATCGAAGGCCTCTCAACCTCCTACGTTCTAAGCTGCTTGTACAGACAGCAACAGACAGCAACAGCAACAGTTTTAGTCAAAACGTTATTTGCTCATGATTAAATAAAAATTTAACTGGAAAATTGGTTTGGAATTGGAGCTCAGGGATTATCTTTTGACTTTTGCCAGATTTGAATTAATTGGCCTTTTTGAATGAATTTTAAGATGTTTCTTTTCTGCTCATTTTTGCCTCATGCTGTCAGTGTGTACAATAGTTGATCCTGTAATTGCTGGGTTGTATGATCCTTCAAACGCCTGCTGCTATTTGTTGATCATTTTGGTCTAACGGTAGAGCATAATAAAAAAATATTTTTACCAGCCTTATGGATTTGGGGAAAATAGGGTAAATATTGGGCTTTTAAAGTGCAGTTATGCAATCTAAATTGTCATTTCAACTCTCTCCTTTTCTAAAAACAAAAAAATTGGTTTTGTAATAAAAATGAGAAACTGTTTTTAAAGTGCAATAATGCTGTTAACCCAGTGTATATTGGCTACAGGATTTCTTTTTGCAAGTTTATCAGAGTAAACATTTCTTTCATTTCCACAGCAAAGAAGACTTGTGCGACCACTGACTTTGCCTGTGAAAACGGACAATGCCTGCCTGCTAGGTGGCGCTGCGACGGAGAACCAGAGTGTGCAGATGGTTCGGACGAGGCTGATGCAATCTGCAGTAAGTAGCTTCACAGATGCATTGCATGTTCGACATGCGAACTTAACCACACACGTTGATAAGCGGTGCCACAAAAGCAAACACTGATATAATGACAGATGGAACAGAGAGTCAGGTCGGTCAACACCGACTCACACATACAGAGTTGACACATCTCACATGTGCTAACACATGTGGTGTGAGTAGGTAGGTATCCGTGAGTCAAGCAGAAGTCAACTTGCATATTTTAGAGAGCACAAACATCTGCATTACATCAGCAGGTTTTTTTTCCCTCATACAATCATTCTGGATTCACGACAGTAGTTCTGTTCCGGTAACACTTTCGTCACTCTCAAGGATGTCCATTCTTTGTGCTTGCTGCATTTTGCAACCTTCCATTCCTTGAACACCACATCAGAAAATTGCTTTCAGTTGGACTGGCGTACATGGTTTGATCAAGGCCAAAGGAGTGACAAAGATTTTGACTTCTTTTACATCATTTCCACACAGTTGACATGAAAAGCAGAAAGGAATAATTTCTTATTATCTCTATTACTTTTACCTTACTAAGCAGCTGATCAGAGCAGGAAAGACCAAAACTTTACTACTTGTGGTTAGATATGTTACTTGAGAGACTTATAAATTATAACCACAAAGCTAGACATAGGCAGTTATTAATTACATTAAGTCAGTTATATATACTTGAGAAACTTTTGGAGAAAAAAAAAAACATACCCAATGAGACGGCAGTTGCAGTCAAAAGTATTCTTATTTGAACAGATCAGAAACAGATGGAAAAGCTGTTGCATCTGAAGATAATCATTATTGGCAAACATAAAGATATCCTGTATTTTGCTATTTTTGCTCAGCATCTGGTTATTTATTTCCTTCAATCTAATACTTCAATTGTGTCCTATTCCTGGGGTAAAAAGAGTTTAAACGAAGCAATTGCTTTTTTTTTGGGGGGGGGGGGGGTGTTTGGAGGCATATGTCTTTCTCCTTGTGTGCTTCCACGCTACCTAAGTTTCTCCCATAGATGATCTTTGTAGCAAAACTGCTCACAGTGTCCTTATGCTGCGTCACAGTAAGCTATCATAATTTATCTCAGAAAGCAAACGATAACAGGGGAAAAGAAACATTTATAGTGTGTTAAGCACAAATAGAAGCATTTAGGAGAGGAAGCTAACAGTCTTTACTGGTTAAATGACTTCCCTAACTCGGTAAACTCCAGTAAGTCTAGGAAACCCTTTAGCAAAGTATCAGTTGATGAATAATTTTAATTCCATTGTTCAAAGCTTCAGATTACTAGTTTTTCACTATTCTTGGCAAGTCATCATAAGCCGTCCATTTACAGGACTGGTGAGACACTCGTCAAATATACGTCCTGGTTCAGAGTTAGAAATCTGTCTTTCCCTTTCATTCTTATCATTCAACTCTCACACTGCAACCCACATCCTATTCGACACTTTTTCATCAATATGGATCTCAAAGAGGTGATCAAAGGGGGCTTTGAAGATCCCCAATGAAAAATCTGATTGGCAGAGGCCAAGAACGTGTGTGGGTTTGCATACGAGCACATGCCTTTTCTAAAAGCTTCGAGTGTGCGCACTGGCATACGTATGTGGGTAAAACTGGAGTCAATACTTGTATTTAGTATTCATCGCAAGGTCAAAATCTAATCCATTTCATCAGATCAGTATACTTGTGGTTTAGTCTCATTATATCTAATCAAGATTAGACATGGAGATCTTTTCTAAATCTTTCCAGACAGTTTGATCACCAAAGGTCTAGCATGGTATTATACATACATCATAAGGTAAAAATTTAGCAATGTTACAACAACAAGAACTGAAACTTTGCATTTGTTCACATTTGTGGCCTTTTCTCATTATTTGGCCTTATTTGGTTATTCGCTTATTTAAAGATCCCCATTAGTCTCTGTCATAGTAGAGACTATGCTTCCTTGGTTCCACGCCACAAACATTACAACAAAATCATACTTTTACAAACATTGCAAAAAAGATATAATGAGTCATTAGACTCAGGTGACTCAGATGGACCTAAAAGTTGCAGGACACCGAACATTGAGACCTGGGTCCATGTGGAAGGGTGACATTCGGCAACATTAATCAGGCCACAGCTGCAACAAACAGCACTAGCATGAATTTTATAGCAGCAGCATATATGTGCAATATTGGATCGAGTTACAATGCTCCTGGTAGAGAATATTTTTGGCAAACGGACTTAAATGATGAACAAATTACATGTATTACTATTTTTTTCATTAACTTTGTTATGCTTCAATGCCATGGAAATGCACAAAAAGAAGAGTGATGGAGTTGGTAAAATTTTTTATAAAATTGCCTGAATGTGGCTGCAGAAACCTGTACAATGTGGATAGAATTCAGAAATGGTTCAAAATGTCCTTCAGTCTTAACATCTTTATAACGGGTTCAACAATCTTTATTAAACAGTACCACGTGTTCCTTCCAGAAGCATCTGCATTGATTATTTCTGGACATTTTTTAGTTTTTGCTTTTCAGCACTTTCTTTGTGTTGAGACATTTAAATATCCTTCTCCCAGCCAACAACTGTGTGTAGCAATCTTGTTTCTGTCATTTTATGTGCTACTTGTCATCCACTTTCTGATCTAAGTTCAGTTTAAGTAATGCCTTGATGGAATTGATTGCCCAGGGCGAGAATCGATGGGCTGATCCCTGAGACTTTTGCTCGACTGCTGATTAACTATGGACCTCCAATGATGGCTCTGAAACTCACATGTACAGATGCACACACAGCTGCGCACAAACACACAGGTTGCTGTGTCGCTCTCTGTAATTACACATTGAAGGAACCTGGGGAGAGTTGTGGAAACAAAGCTCATGAAGGCGAGCAGTGGTTCATGCATGATCTTATGTCTTTGTGGCTTATTAGTTGTTGCTGTTGTATTGTCAATTCTCAAAAATAGATTATAAATATTGTGGGGCATCTGTATTTCAGAGCCAAACATTGCATATGTTTACCAATCGCCAGCACATTTCTCACAACATAATTTGTTACCAGAAAACTTTATAGCATGTCGTCATGCAAGTCTCACTTTTATTTCATATAAATAATATATGTTTTACTCAAGAGTACCACGCTGAAACTTTCTCACTACATTCACATTTTTTTTTCTTTTTACCTTTCCATCACTGAAAGCTCATGCTTGAATTGATGTGATTAGATATCAAAATACTGATATAGGTTTAGAAAAACAAGCTAACGATTTTTGTGCTTAATATGCAGACTGGTCATTTGTGAGATCAGATATCAATTTAGAAATGTTTATCAAAAGTGCTCTCTATTTTTTGCATTACAACAGAAGCTGTCAGGAAACAGTTCATGTCCTCTAATTTACATCTAGATTACATGTAATCATTCCTGTATTATTTTAACTTATTTTTTGTTTGTTTGTTTGTTTTTTTACCAGAGATGTGACTGCAAAGATTTTCTCATAAAATCTCTTATGTGTTTGGAAACAAAATGTTTCATGCTTCATTTATTTATTGATTTTATTCTTCTTATTTGATGTTTAACCATAAAAGCTTAGGAATAATGGACACTTGCCACTTTTAGTCTACCATGTATTGGACAAAGATATAACTAAACTCGTTTTATTCTGCCTTTCCGGATGCTTGAAAACTTAAGAATATGATACAAAAACCTCATCATAGAAGGCCTAAACTTTTGTGAGATGTGGAGGATATTTTATATTCACGATATAAAAGCCTTGTATCATCTCGATGACTAATATATTCCAGGTCTACTCAAGCATCTCACACTTGGAGGCATGTTGATAAAGACTGTCTTGAAAAGTCTCTAAACCCATTATGAAAGAGAATGGGAGGAAAGTATACTAGCACAAATGAGAATTTTGATGAGTATTGAAGTCAAGTAATCTCAAGTCATTGTTCACGGTTGAGAAGCATCGTCAGATAAAACTGAGAGAACAACAGTGCACGCATCCCCTACGGCTCTGCCATTACGATATCAAAGCAGCTGTGTTTTAATTGAGAAAACCGGGGATTTTAAAACATTTGGTTATTTGATATGCTTCAAACTAAACTCTGTTGCAAGGCCTTAACGTTAGCACATTTGCAATGGAAATGTTGTATTTGTACACTCAAACTTGCAGTTAAATAGTTTGAATACAATTTACATCTTAATGTGTCCTGATATGTTTTGCACATATTGATCATCTCTTATTTTTTGGTCTACTTTACAAAATACCTCAGGGTTTATTTCTTTCCAATCCAGCTGATGAAAGACATTCATCTAGAGAAACAAACTGTCAAAGCGGTGCCTCTCATCACAGCAAGACTTCTCACCCACTTGTGGTAGTCATGATTTATAGCATTCATATCCACTCATTTCCACTACCTTCATCAAGTTCTTTTCCATTATGGTAATCATAGCTTTGCTGGGGAAAAGATGAAAGAAAAAACTGTGTAGACTTGGACAGTAGAAGTAGATTGATTTTAAAGAATGTTTGCAACTTGAATTCCTCTCAAGGTTTTGTTGCTGTCTTGGAATGTGTGGAATTTTTTTAATTCCCATGTCTGAATAAAAAATGAATAAAGAAAACTTATTTACCTCTTTTTTTTTTTTAACTGATAATTCCAGGCAATTTTACACTCACATTTACCTGGATCTTCAAAGATGCCTTCTTCAAATGTCAAAATGAAGCACTAAAGCTGATATGTATTTAACAGATGGGATGAAGGTATGAAAATTAAACTGCTCTGATACTCCAGTCATTATTTGACAAGTCCAAGAGTTAGATCACCTTGAACACTAATCTTTTGGGCATTTTGCAGATGCCATAAAGCTGTGAAAAAAATTGTTCCTCAATGTTCAAAATGTTTATTTTTGGAAAAGTGTGGAACTTTGAAACAAAGATTGTTAGAACCCTGACCTCTGGAGTTCAAATGTCCATGCAGGGAGGGAACCCTGAACGCTTACTCAGTTATAACTGCAGA